CCCCCTTCTCCTTCTCCCCTCTCCCTCTCCCCTCTCCTTCTCCACTCTCCCTCTCCCTCTCTCCCGTCTCTCTTTCCCTCTCTCTACCTCTCCCCCTTCTCCTTCTCCCCTCTCCCTCTCCCATCTCCTTCTCCACTCTCCTCTCCTCTCTCCGTCTCTCTTTCTCTCTCCTCTCTCTCCCTTCTCTCTCTCCTCTCCTTCTTTCCCCTTTCTCTCCCCTTCCCTCCCCTCCCCTTCTTTCTCACTTCCCTCTCTCTCCCCTTCTTTCTCCCTCTCGCTCCCTCTCTCGCTTATTGGGAAGTAATACCTAACATACTATATATATATATATAATATATATATATATATGTATATATATATGTATGTATATTATTATATATGTATATATGTATATATGTATACAATGGGTGTAGGCCAACTGGGATGTTACCTAGCTATTGATGATACTACGTACATGCTCTGATAGAATAATGTACGTCTACGTCTTGTTGCGGATACAGTGAGGTCAAAGCTACCTGCACATGCCAGAAGTAAGTGTTTTCTAGCAATAGAGAGCGACGTCTTCATATCATAACCATGATAATAACGATCGACATGCAAATTAAGACGCAATAATGCAAACACGCCGACTACTGCGGTATATATAATAAGAATAGGGGGCAGCACCGTACAGTACTTATACATAACCTTACAGCGCTTATCTAACCAGTGCGGTACTATGCGGATTGAATAATAGCAAGTTTGTTTCCTACTGATACAGGGCAATGCAATGTTATTATGGTACAGTAGTAAGTATAGACCGAGTCATGGGATCTGGTGCTAGGTGTTGACTTGACGTGTGCAGAGCATGTCTAGCAAGGGAATGTTGCCTTGCATATTTAGGTAAGAGTAAATTGTTTCAATTATCACTAGTACGATTCTTGTTTGGTGCTCTGATGACCTGTTTCCATCTCTCACACTATGAGTTGATATGTGTGCGTGCGTGTTCTTGAATGTGAAAAAGTTGCCNCGTGTGTCGTGTGCGTGTGCGTGTGCGTGTGCGTGTGCGTGTGCGTGTGCGTGTGCGTGTGCGTGTGCGTGTGTGTGTGTGTGTGTGTGTGTGTTCTTGAATGTAGGACACATATAAGGACCTAGGACATATATGAAAGTAAAGTGCTTCCTCCGTTTGTCATATTTAGCGCGCGTAAGTGTGTTCGGTCAGGTTCACGAGCGCATGCGTGCGCGCGCGCGTGAGTGGGTGAGTGTGTGTTTGTGTACGCGCGTGCGTGAGTGGGTGAGTGGGCGTGATTGTGTGGCTTATGCTTGTGCGAGCGTGTGCATGTGCGCGTATGCTAATGCATGGTGTGCCCCTTGCTTGTTTTTTATTTGTGAGGAAATAATCTTTATTAAACAGTGTTAAACAGTAATGATGTCCAATTTTGATGACAAGTAATTAATAATAACTATGGGGGATTGATCACAGTTTTGATATCGGTTAGGGAAGGAAGGAACCCATGTACAGTTTATTTTCACAACATTCAAATAAACCCGTTCTACGTACAGGTGCTCTAAAATATATTATTTTATAGTGTATTACAGCTGTGTTTATAGGAAAACCAAAAGCGACTACGACATATTTTATTTTACCAAGCAAGTGTACGTCCATGTATTTATAACGAGTATCATTTCGATTAAACAGTTTCGAACGGCTGTATAATAATTATACATAACCTCGCAATATTCGACATACTGCGCGGTTCTATCCATCACGGCTAATCTCCGAGGAAAGAAATGCACGCGCATTTCTGTTTCGTTTAACAAGTAAAACTTCTCACGATAGATACTATGTAGTCTAGAATTTAATTTGTTGCTAACATTAATCTTGAGCAATAGAGGTCGCTATAGTAGCTAGTATGACGTGAAGCTATACATATACCAGCAGACTGCACGTACTCGGGTCACTTTCCCGCCAATTCTACCAGACGAGCTTCTATTGTAAGTACACTTCTATCGGTATCTGTACTGTACGTCGACGCAGACGGGTTATAGCTAGCCAGGGGATACATACGTGTGATAACATAACTTCTTACTACAGCAATACGGTTCGATTAAGATTTTACAAGATATATATAGCTTGAAAAGGAAATACAAATCTCTTCTTTCTTTGTAAACGCTTGTTCGTTTATGATTTGACAAGATATAGAGTTTAATATTATCGTTTTTAGTTCATCTATGTTTGCTTCAATTCATCAATTTCGTCAATTGTTCGTCGTCGCATTTTCTTGTTTTCAGTATGGACAGTGGCTGCCCGAGAAGTACTATACGTCAGCTTCATAACACGAGTAAGTAAGAGAAAATCACGTGATAAAAATGGCTTCATTCGTTACAGTACACTCGAATTATTAAAGGTCGGAGATAAAACACTTACGTACGCACACGCACGAAAGAAAGCACGTACGAACACGAACACGCACGCACGCACGCACGCGCGCACGAACGCACGCACACACACGTGCGCGCGCAGACACACGGAGTCACACAAACACTCACACTCACACACATTCTCATACATACATACACACGCGCGCACGCACGCACACACACACGCACGCGCGCACACAAACACACACGCACACACACACACACACACGCGCGCACAGACACACGGAGTTACACAAACACTCACACTCACACACATTCTCATACATACATACACACGCGCGCACGCACGCACGCA